ATATATCGCAGTTAGTTCGGATGTTAAGACAGAGAAATCACGGGTCAAGCGTCTGCCCTCCATGTGATCTTCAATTACAAATGCCATCCCAAGATGATCTTTTGACTTTGATCCATCTGTATAGACTGGAAGATAACTGCTATATTTGTGCCTGTGCTCAGCGAAGAGTCGTCTGTATACTATCTCGTTAGTGCTTGCCTTCACGTGATGTTTGAAAACATCAAGAAGCTGAATCCGCGAATTTTCCCAAGGTGGGATTTCAAAGTCCTGTACTGCTTGGGGGCACATATCAGAGAGGGAATGTTCCTCAATGATAGGGTGAACTCTTAAAGGAAAGGTAGGAATACAGGATGGACGTGTTTCAAATAATGTATTACACTCATTATCAAGTAAGCATAGCTTATTAGGATGTTCAGGTTGAGATAAAATATTAAAATACTTGCAAAGGGAGACCTGCTCACGCCTCAGAAAAGGTGATGGTTCATTAGAGTCAACATACAGGCTCTAGACAGATGTCCTTGAAAGCTCCAGAACAAATCCGCAAAGCTTGATGGTGAACAAGATCTAGTTTTATCAATACATGACTGAGCGGATCTGTAAACAATTGACCATGAGCCAGTCTAGAGCGGACAAATGCTCTGTAAATGCGAAGCATGAGAGCAATGCTCTGCACTCCAGGAGGTGTTCACCAAGACACTTTTAAAATATTTAGTGTTTTTAGAACACTTTTTTTTTCTCAGGTTTAAAATATGAGAAAGGAAAGTCAATTTTCGGTCGAACGTCACTCCTAAAAATTTTACTTCAGGCACAACTGGAATAATTATACCATTCAGATATAACTCAGGTTCAGGATGGAGACCACGCTTCCTACAAAAGTGCACACACACAGTTTTCTGTTTTGAAATAGTAAATCCCTGTTTGTTTGACCATTCTTGAATCTTATTCAGAGCCATCTGCAATCACTCGGCCATCTCTTTCCAGAAAGGAAAGTGAGTGGTCTTTATATATTCCGCATGCCTTTCGAACTCTTTCCCAAACCCGCTTACTAGGCGTAGAGGATGTTATTGAAGACACATATGAAATCCAGGAATCCCTCTGGCTCTGCCTTCTTACTTTTCGTGCATTTGCTTTGGCTCTTTTAAAGGCTATGAGGTTTTGCAGCTTAGGATATCTACAAAAAATACCCCATGCTTTTTTCTGTTTTTTCAGTGCTTCATGACAGTCGCGATTCCACCATGGTTTCGAATATTTAAGCATTTTTCCTGATGTTCTAGGAATCGAAAGCATAGCTGCCTGAACAATAGTATTAGTAACAGCTTCCACAGCGTCATCGATATGCACATCTCCTACCATTTCCTCTGTGTGCTCTGTGGAGGAAGAGAAGAGTTCTCAGTCTGCCCTGTCCAGTATAAACCATGGGAGTCTCGACATGGGGTTTGCTCCTCTTCGTGCAAGAGATACAAAAATGGGATAATGATTGCTGTTGTACACGTCATTTCCGACACTAAAAGTGCAAAATGGCAACAGAGATGGTGAACAGATGGCAAGGTCGAGAGCGTGGAATGTCCTTGAAGGCTCATGGAAGTACGTATCCTGCCCATTATTTAGGAGACAAAGGCTATGATCTTCGATCATCTCCTCAATTTGTCTTCCTCGGCAATTTGTATCTTTACTACCCCAGAGTGGACTATGGCTGTTAAAATCTCCTAATATGATGAAAGGCTCAGGCAGCTGCTCTAAAGACCATTTAAAATCTTGCTGATCAATATGCTCATTTGGAGGCAAATACAGAGAAACGACTGTAACAACAATATAAAAATTTGTTTGAATAGCGACAACTTGGAGGGATGTCGTGAAAGAAAGCACATTTGAGGGATAATCCTGTGAGGTGAGGAGACCTACACCTCCATTGGCACGCTCGCCTGCAAGGTTATCTTTCCTGACAAAGGAAAACCTCCGAAGTTTTGCCTGTTGTTCTGGTTTTAGATTTGTTTCCTGTATTGCGAAGCATACAGGATGATAAGCATTAATTATGGCTTTGATGTCGAGCAAATTTCGGTGGAAACCGCGACGGTTCCATGAGACGAGGGTGGCCATTATGACTGGTTTTTGTTCTTTCTGTGCTCTTGTTTGGTTTTTCGTGGAAGTGGATGCCTGGGAACTTCTAGACCCTCTTCTACTTCCCTACCGTCTGAATCCGCAGATTCAGAAATCATATCGTCAAGAGAGCTATTGCTAGGACTTCTATTTTTATTAATTATTTTGTGACTTTCAGTTTTAGGTTTACTTTGAATGACTGTTTCTTTCTTTCTTTTTTTTTTTTGTATTAAATGAGTTTTTTTTTTTTTTTGCATTTTCCATTTTCTTGGTGGATGTAGTCAGTTGGGTTTTAATTGGTTTAGTCTGCGTGCCTATTGATGTTTGGGTGGCAATGCTACGTGTTGTTTTAACTGCACTGGCATAAGATTTGTTTGATTGGAGCTGTGTGCTTTGAACTAGTTTTCTGGCTTCAGCATACGAGATGTTCCTGGTAACTTTAAGAGTCTGTACTTCTTTTTCGGATTTCCATTTTGGGCACAAGCGTGAAAATGCTGGGTGCTGACCCTTGCAATTTATACACGAAGGCGCAGCGGTACAATTTTCAGAATCGTGGCCAATCTGTGAGCATCGGGCGCATGTGAGGCTGCCACGACAAGTCATCTTAGAATGGCCGAAACGCTGGCACTAGAAACATCGCATAGGGTTAGGAATATAAGGTCTTACAGGAAGATTTAGATATCCGGCCTTAATATCTTAGGCAGATCAGGCGTGTTGAAGGTAAGGATCACGTGTTTTGTATCGATCAACTTACCTTCCTTTCGCATCTTGATCCGCCTAGCACCACAGACATTTTGGTCAGCTAACTCGGAGACGAACTCTTCTTCTGAAACACACAGAAGGTCGATCTCCGAGATCACACCTCTACAAAAATTAAGTGTTTTACCCGCTGACACAGTTATAGATATTTCTCCAAATTTGGTTTGTCGAGAAAGAGAAGCAGACTGGGCGGCCGACATGGTATCAATAAGCAGGTCTCCTGATCGGAGACGCTTTATGTTCCTTGGCTCGCCTATACATGAATGTATATATTTGTTTACGAGAAAAGGAGACATCTTTTGCAGTTCACCAGAAGGACTAGAGACAACAAGGAAGCGCGGACAATCAGTAGATTCTTTGGCGTTTGCATCAGATTCGGATCTTCTTGGTACTGGATTTGTCTATAATTTCAGTATCTTTGTCATTTTCATCGGTACTGGATATTCTTGTTAATCAACAATTTCAAACTTTGAGTTATCAACGAATTTCAATATCTTGGTTGGTGTCATTTGAGTCAGGTTTTTTTCAGAATGAAAAAGAGAAGCCATAATTGAAAAGAGAAAAATTCTGGTCCGACGGCCTCGCCCACCACGGAGCCCAACAAGGGAACACAGATTCCTGTGCTAGGGCTAGCCGGACCTATACGCAAACTGAAGCCCCACAGTCGGCTTTCCCGAAAGCAGGTACTCCCGAGAGCTTGACCCCAAGCCACTGACACAAGGACTAGTGACCAATCGATTGACACCCGTGAGGACTTGATAGCTTTGTTATTGAGATTACAATGCATATACTTAAATAATGATTTATTTCTAAACTCAGAAACAAAATTCTCAAATAAAAAAGCTACAAATGGCTTACTTCAAATTCTATATGAAAAATTTGACTGGAATTTGTTAAGCAACCTAATTTGAAAACTTAATATTACTTAATATTTACCCATTGGCTAAAAAATGTGGATGTAACAATTAAGTAGACAGGCATTGGGAATTCTAAAATTCTTTGCCTCATTAAGAAATCTAATACAGCACAAAGTCTTTAATCCAGACTTGTCGGAACTTCAGCGATTCCAGATTATAAATCATCAATTTAAATCTGGTAAGATGGCATGCAGAAATTATAAAATTAAAACTACAAAACTGTAATTTACGAAATAAAGAGCAATTATGATCTAAAAAAGTATCAAAATTTACAAAAAAAAAAAAAAAAAAAAAAAAAAACTTAATATTTATTTGTTTACTTTATTAAACATTTCTTTCAATGTAAGTTGTTTAAGTTGCTTCATTTTATGTGCTAATACTTTCTCTTTAATTCTATAAACAGACATAATTTCTTGTTCAGTTACAAAGTTCCGCTGTTCAAGTCTTGTAATTGCTGTGCCAAGAATACCAACTAACTTGTCAATCGAAATTTGTTCGTTGTCACTAACCTCTCTGTCACTTTCTTCATGCCTTTATACATTTTTTGCAGGAATTCCACTTTTTGTTTGATGGACATCGAAACATGCTTTCGCTTTGTAGATCCTTTGGCAGCTCCAGAATCGGAAACTCTTTTTGACATAAACGAAAGTTAAAGCTTATTTTTTATAAAATTGCTCTCTAACAGTCTGCAGAAAATAATAAGCCGGATTCAATTAGAAGATTAAGGAACAGTGCAATCTTGCACCATTAACTGAAATAGCCTTAGATAATTTTAACGTAGCTTATACCGTTAGTTATACATTAAACGTGCATATGTAACCGCTATGCATGCGCAAAAAGTTTGTAGCTTTGAGGTCCCAATTATAGATCATTCCGGATTATGGACATCCAGATTAAAGACTTTGTACTGTATAATTTGATACCTATTTGTATTTTTATTACCTTTTTCACATTTTTTTATATTCCTCTACTCATTTTTTTTGTTATTCTAATTATTTATGTATGAAGAAAAGCTTTTAACATATTAAAATAATTTTTTCATTAGAAAGATTACAAGTATTATTGATATGGCTAAATGATATACAGAGCTATTTATTAATTTTAAAAATGGTGTTAATTCATTCAATAATTACACATAACATAAATTATGCTGAGAATATATAACATGTATAATTATGTACCCAAAACACACAAACTGCAAGAATATTAATGGAGAAATAAACTAACCTTGAACATCAACTTTAAAATCCTGTTCAGCAGTTCCTATTTCATTTCCTGCAATGCAAATATATCGTCCAGCATCTCGTAAAGAAGCATATTTAAGCCGTAAATTCTGGAAACCATCAGAAAAATGAATATGGGGAGAAGAATGAAGAGGAATTATATCAGAATCTTTTAGCCATGTGATTATTGGCTTTGGATGGCCACTAATGGGACATTTAATTGTAACAGATCCTCCTTCCTTCACAAAGTAAACTTTTTGTAGTTTACGTCTGTCTATTGTTGGTGGTACTGAAATATAACACATTCAGTTTTGAAGAGTCTGGTAATAAATTTATAAGAAATACTTCCCAATATACAACAGATAATTGAGAAAAATTACTTTTCAAACAAGCACAAATTTAAATTAATTACAGCTGTATGTAAATTGCATTAAAGATGCTACCACTGAAAGATTAGCAAGTTATTAACCACTGAAAGAATTTTAAAAAAAAAATTACATAAATGATTTCAATAGCTTTAAAAATTAAAAGGAAAGTTGGAAAAATTAGATGAAACCAACAAACAGTTCATTTTAACAAATTTTAATTTTACTTTTTATATTCCGTTACGTTTTTCAAAACTGTAACAGTTAAATATTTTTTGACTTTGATATCTATTTTAATTTTCCAAAACACTTTGTGCTACTCCAACAAATGCAAATCTGACATATACTTCATCATAAATTTCTTTCACAGATATTGACATATAATCAGGAAAAGCAATAAACTTCTGTTATGCTAATATTTTAACCATGACACTATTGATTTCAAAGACAATAGGAGCAAATCCCTCATCATCTGGAGAAAATTTTAAAGAGAAAGGACCAAAAGCAAAAGAGTAAAACGAATGAGAAGGTAGCCCCATCCATCCATAGACATAGCAACAAAAGAATTAAATTAATAAGCATTTTAAAAGCACTGGGAAGAACTGTATTGGAATTAAGTCATTAACTAAACAAGATAAATCTTTTTACATGAGAAAAGCTTCAAGGAAATCCAATTCAGAAAATGAAGAAGCCATTTGGATAATTTTTTCAGGCTCTAAGTCAAAATGGTGATTAAATTTTTAACAACGATTAATCGAAGAACAATGATTAATGTGGCTGAATAGCAATTAATGATTTCTAACAATGATTGACTAAGATTCATTTACTTCTTCTTTTTGAACGTAAGATTCACATCTCTTGATGTGAAACTTTAATGCAGTTTTATTTTGGCCTGTATAATCTCAAACCACACTGACAAGCTATGCTATAATTTCCCCCGGAATTCAAGTCAAAAATGGAACCTTTAAAAATTGAACAATGGATTTTATTAATAGGTGAGAAAATGACTTGAAAATTGAACTTCTGGAGAATACAAGTAATTTTGTAGCTAAATGAAAACATGAAATAGCAGAACAGGGTTACTAATGCTGTTTCTAACAGTAGAATGTCTTCTTTGATAACAAGACGAAAATTTTTTAAAGGCTTTAACAATAACTATGGAAGAAAATACTCTCCAAATGATTTTAAATAATCAAGCTTATTAGAAAGAGATTCTGACGAGAAAAAATAATGCTGTAATGATTGAATGATGCCTAGCTTTAGCTTGACATGTTTTTCTAGCTAATGCGCTTTATTAATAACAACCTGTTTTTATTTGCCATGAAATGAATTTCATTAATATCATTCAAGAAATGTTAGAAAGTACATGTAGGCAATTTATTAAAGTCAGCAGTTGTAACGAGTTATTGATGAAAATTCTGTTAATATATATGACTTTATAAGGTATTTCTCCTGCTTTTCTAGATTGCCTTCGTGGTGTAGTGGTTCTGCACGCTGGGCCGGTATGCCAGAGGTATGTGGTTCGATTCCCAGCGAACGAGGTTGCTCATTTTTCATCTCTCTGGCTTTCCCAATTAACCTAATGTCTCTACAGTGATGCCTGAACTAAAAAAGGATTGTTGGATGATGATTCTCCGCACCCACATTTGCCAATTGGGTCTCCTAAAAACCCCAGTCACCCTTTAAAAGGGGGAGTATATAAGGTATTTTTCCCACTTTCCTAGTGTGTCTTTATGGTGTAGAGGTCCGTGGTTCGATTCCCGACGAAGGCACTTGCTCATTTTTCATATCTGGCTTTTCCAATTAACCTAATGTCACTACAACTTAAACAAGGCAGCAGATGGGAGGAAAATATTGAATTAAAATTCTGAAGAAAGACATGAATATGGTTAACATGAAACAAACACATAAATGTTGAAGCATTCTTATAAGCACACAGAATTTTGAAATGCTCAGAAAATATTTTGCAAAACAACTAAAACTTGTAGATTTCAAATCACATCTTAAAAAGAGTATGAAAATGATTGAAAAAACACTGAGCTGAAGAAATAAAGAATATCTAAATCTAATTTAAATCTTTGTCTCTCCCTTCTGAAGATGGGTACTAAATTTTAAAATGTAATATAGTTTATAAGTACGTGAAAAGAAATATAAATTAAAAAAAAAAAAAAAAAAAAAACTGACAAATAACAAACTGAACAATTAATTTGACACATAATTAAATGAATTACAATATTTTATATTTAGTTAACATTATTTCATGTAATATTGCATTTAATCACACTAATTAATTATAAATGTCAGACTACAATATATTACTAATTAAAAATAATTACAGCGCAGATATTTATATTGGAAACTGGTAAAATGATAATGCTAAATATATGTATATGAAACAAACACATGACCTTTTTCAACATATTATAATTTTGACACATTATTAGCTAAAATTAGGCAAAATAACAACCTTGTCTTCGGCATAGACTTTAATTGAAACTCGGTGATATTCTCTGAATTTAGCTGAAAATTGAAATCTACTCCAAGCATGATTATTTTGCCTTAATTTTTTACGCTATACTTTGGTGTGTTTCTCTTCTCTCTTGAAACTATGAGCTATTTTGAATGCAACTACATTAATTTCACTAAGCAAATGGTTCATACAATATTGCACAAAGCATGACATTTTATATAATTATATTTTTAAATTTTCAACAATAAAAACTTACCTAAAATTTCGAGATCAAAAACATAGGCACTGCTTCCAACAGCATTATCAGCTACACATTTATATAGACCAGTATCATCTTCCTTAGCTCTTAAAATTGATATTTTGCGTCCATCATCATGCACATATATATTCTGTTCTTCTTCCAGTTTTATATATTTTCCATTTTTCATCCAACTTATTTGAGGAAATGGGTTACCAGAAATTGGGCACTCGAGTGAAACAGGTTTGTTAACATAAGCGGTTGGTCGACCCACAGCTTCCTCTTGCTCCAAATTTAAACGAGGAGGAGCTGAAATTTAAATGCAAACATTATGAAACTTTCAAAGACATTTTCTCTTCTTTGGAAGACAGGAATAAGATATTTTAATTATTAGTTATAGCCACCTATCATGTGTAAATACTTTTATAACTATACAACACAATTTTAAAATAAGCATATCATGATTATTGTTTTCTTCTCTGCATTTGATCATAATAAACATGCACTTATTTTCTATACTTCTTTCGACACGCTTCCGTTATCCAGACCAGATTCAGAAAAATATGTATGTATGCATGTGTGTATTTACGTATGTGCATACATGTGCCCACACATACATTTATACATGCATACATGAACACATACACCAATATATGCATGCATATATACCTACATTTCTGAATCTGGTCCCAATAACAGAAGAGTACCTTTTTCTGTTATTTTGGAGGAAGGGAAAGATGCTTACTTGTCTAATCTAGTCGAGAATTTTTGTTCAATAACGCAATAATGTAACACTGTTGGTAAAAATGTGTAACACATGTATCTTGGCAGGGGTTCTCAACCAGGAAAGGGTGGAGTGCAATCAGCCTTTAATTTAGCTGTTAAGTATTTAGTTTTAATTTATGAATAAAAACTACTTTTATCCAAGTTTTGATATTTATTAATATTTTCTATATTTTTATTGTTTAATTTAGAAAACAGATTAAAAGTAGTCTAAATTTAAATTAATTCACTTGTATTCATGTTTGAGAAAGGATGGTGGGGAGGGGTGGAATCCCTCCAATACCTTCCTCTTTCATTTTTGAATTTTTATTCTCATTTTTATAAGTATAATATAAGTTTTCATATTTATATAGTCATTTTGCCACTTAGCCATTTTTATATATCATGTATATATTTCATTCTTGAGGTTACGGAACTCTTTACCGTCCTCTTTTTTTTAGCATCTTTTCTCTCGCCCTTGAGCGACCTCTTAAGTGGTACGCTTCTCGGCCAATTGAATACGACCTTAGGTTGACCGAGTTTTACATCCGATGTGACAAAGTAGGAGCAAGCTCCTTTGGCAAGCCTCATCTAATCCTCAGGGTCCCGGGTATCACCCGTGACCACAATGTGCATTCGAAAAATCAGTGCTCAATGTGTCCTGCAATTCCCGAGAGAAAAATGTTTTCATATAGATTAAAATTTATAAAGTAAACAATCCACTCAGACTTTTGGTTAAGAGCATCCAGTAAATTATAATACAAGAAAGTGGAAACAAGTTCTTCAATTATAAGTATGTGAGGTTTTCCCAGGATGCATCAATAAGCCCCGATTCCCTTTTTGAATTCCAGCTGACAGAGGATGGAAGTGCATATGCTTAAGTTTGCAAAATGTTCTCAGAAAACATGATATACTTCCTTGCATTATTGTACATTACCAATTTCTTCAATAGGAAAAGGGGAGTGGGAAAAGCATTGATTATGTCTATAATAACCAGGAAGTGACAAGTCAATTTTCCACTGTCTAGAAACAGAAATTTAGGATTTGAACAAAACGCTGGAAAAAACATTCTTTTATTTGCTGGATGTGTGGCTTGTAATATGTCGAAGATGCCTTAACAAAATAATCTATGCTTAAAAGAAAAGGATAAACTGCTGAAAGATTACGACACATTTAGTAAATGCAGCCAAAAAGAAGCAGCATTTAAATTGGGAATTTCCCAAACAGCATTGTGCAAATTACTTAAAGAAATAAAATTGATAAAGAACTAGCAAAAAATGCAGATGTCTCAAGGAAGTACAAAAGGGATGGGAAATTGAGAGACGAAGCTGCACTTCTAGAGTTGTTTCAAACTGTGAGACTAAAAAAATTGTCCAATCTCATTTGACCACAAAAGCTGTAGAATTCGCTAAAATGCTGGCAGAAAATTTTGTGCAAACTCATAAGATGAAATGAGAGAAATAATGTTGTTTACAGGAAACTACATAGTGAGAAGCAAGGAGCAGATCATCATTCAGCTGAAAAATGGATAAAAAGTATTTATGCAGGATTCTAAAAGAATACAAGCCACACAAAATTTATAATACAGATGAAATTGGTTCATGTTGCAGAGCATTACGTAGCACACATTAATGTTTAAAAGTGAACACTTTACTGGTATTAAGAAATTAAAAGAGCAAGCTACTATATTATTACTATGCAATATGGATGCAACAATTAAGAATGCCATTGGTTATTGGAAAAATAGAAAACCTTGATGCAAAATTTATCCTATAAAAACAAGAACTCATGGATGAAAACCAGTATTTTTACTGATTTCCTTTTGAAATGGGAAAGAGAATTGGGGGGGGGAAGAGCTAAAAGATATAGCTTTATTGTTAGATAACTGTGTTACACATCCCTCTGATGCTGCTCTGAAAAACATTAAATTAGTGTCATTCAGCCTTTAGACCAAGGTTTTATTAAAGCTTTCAAAAGTCACTACAGCAAAAGTGTTGTTCAAAAAAAGATAAATAAAGCTGAATCTTATGAAAATTGGTAAAAGATAAATAAAGCTGAATCTTCTGAAAATTGGATCAGTTAAAAGATACACTTTGAAAGGTAAAACTATGTCGATATTTTTGCAGCGCATCATACTAAATGCATGGTAAGCAATCTTGCAAAATACAGAAATTACTTTAGGGAAATGTATTTTTTATTTAGAAGAAGCCACATAGGTATTGTAAACTATTTCTAATATTTTTGGACATCAACGAATGAAATTATAAAGTTTCGTTTCAGAATACATTGGAATTGATAATAATATTGAGATAGCACGTAAAAACACTCACAACGATGTTACAGACACTGACAGTAAAAGTGACTACATACCAACCTCAGTTGAACTGAGTTTTTGTAAGTAAAAACTTGTAAGTAGCTTTTGATGTACCCCTTTCTGTAAGTACATCAAAAGCTACTGCCAAAACAAAAGTACAGGAAAATAACAATTAAAAATGAAAGCATTTAAAAATGAAAAACAGTTAACATTTAAAAACAAAAATGCAATGTCATGATTTAGCAAGGTAAGCATAAAGCAGCTTTAGTAAAATACAAATAAATAAAAATATATATTTATATATTAAAGTCTCTATTAAAGTATTTTAGATACTTTTCCATTTTGCCAGCGCAAACAATAAAGGTTGGCAATAATGGTACAACTGATACCAAACAGAATATCTTCTCTGGTAACCTTTTACGCTTCATTTTCAAAACAAGTCACAGTCATTTCTTATCAGATTGATTTTTTCTACCAATACTGGCATACAATTACATAGAATTTTTACAAAAGATAGTTAAATTTTATACCCTAAACCATTCGGTTGGGTAATTATTCAAATAGAATGCATCACACCACCACCTGAAGGCGAAAATATCGAAAGGCAAAATAAGGATTAAATTCTTCAATCTAATGAGATGCACTAGCAAAAGTAAAGAATACAGTTTTAAAATTTCAGAGTAAGGTATTGTACAAAGTGAATATTCTGCATTTAAACTTGTATCACAAATTAAATTAACTTAAATTAATGTAGATAATTAATGAGAGAACTACATTTTGTAGCGTAGTTACGTGAGTGAGATCACTTGTCACGTGATACGAACAGCGATCAGGTGTTGGAACCATGAAGCATAGTAAATTCTTCATAATGCATTTTCCACAAATTTTAAATAAATAATTTTTTATGCTTTTAAATCAAAATTCTTAGAACTAAAATTTTTTATGTGTATACCGTTGCTGTCGCCAACAAAGTCTGCTTGGTGAGATTTGCGCCGGCGAAACGGAAAAGTACCGTATTTTACTGTCAGATATTAAGAAACAAATAACTTTTTTCAACTTAATTACTCCAGAAATAATAAAGATTAACAATTAAATTACTTTACATTAATATAAAAAGAAACAAAGAATTTATTCCATACTGAGAACATCCACATTAAATTCCTTTTCAGTAGATCCAGCAAGATTTGTAGCAATGCAAATATATTTTCCAGAGTGATAAGACTAAAGGGAAAAAATGATTATAAATTGATCAAATAATTTATATATAGATTGGAAAAAGTACTACTGGAACTTAAAATGGTTTAAGCCTGAAAGAGCTTAACAAAATTAAGCTTGGGTAATTTTTTTCTGATTAATTTGAAAGAAAAAAAATTAAGCTTTAGTCCAATTTTTCAAGAATGGGTAGGAAAATATGAAATCAGTAAAAATTTATGCAGTAACTCAGATCAGGAAAAGTATCAAAACGAGTAAGTGAAAAGAACATGAAAATTTAGAAGAAAGGAAGAATAAAAAAATTTTGCATATGGTGAAAAGACTGCGGCAGGCCATACAGAGATGAGAAAATTGTGTGTGCGGTCCTGCAAGTCACTGCTTTCAAGCTTTCACGATATGTCACAGGACATGTTTCTGAGATCGCAGAAGCAATAATTCATTCCAGTTAACAGTGCAAGAGACATAACTTCATGACTAGTGTCAGGAGATTTTAGCGTTCTGTACCCTGTCTGTCGTCAAAGACTCAGTTTCAGGAGGGCTGACGAACCAATGATTTTGTTTTTTCTCTGGTATCGTTTCCGATATAATGAATGAGAGGATGTAAATACTACTGTAAAGTTAATCAAGCATGGCTAATTCAGTCTGAAGTTTTTTTCCATCATAGTAACATGCCAGATGGCTCCTGAACTCTTGACTAGACAGATCGATTCTCATTAGCAGGCTCCTCTACGAGGGCTATACTAATTCATTTCAATAACTGTCTGTGCTATCCACGAATTATATATATATTTGTAAAGAGCTTCCTGTAATTGAAATAAATATGCTTTGAGTTTAAAATACAGTAAGTATTATGCAACCTCACAAATATACTGAATAATTATAAGAAGTTAGATGAGCTACCTGCTGTCACTCAACACAGTGGTAACCCACCAGTCATCCCCCAACACCAAGAATAATGAGGGAGAAATTCAAGTGGTTTCTGAAAAGCAGCTATGAAACTTTTCTCAGGTGCTTATTGATGATTTCTCAGATGCTCAGCGAGTAATCACTAAAGCTGAGAGATTTTCTAGTGATATTAATCCTGAAGCACAAGAAAAAACAATTTGCAATATGCATAGTGGAAACAATGAACAATAATCAGATATGTGAACTAATAAATCTACCAAAATTAATCCCAGTTATATTATGCGAGTTTACAGAATCAGGATGAATGATACTGAGAGGACTATTGAGTGTTCGCTTTCCTCCAGATTGTAATTTCTCCAGAATTTCTTTCACTAAAAATCAAAATTAACAGCAAAGAGAACTCCACGGTTCTCTTAAGAAGCACTTTAAATAACCTGAGTCAGTCAGGGATAAATCAATGGTCTCCCTCAGCAGAAACCTCTTTAGTGAAGTCTTCCTTCAGAGTATATCAGGACAATCATAATCATGTAAATGCAAACAACTCTCTTAGATTTTGTGAAACAATCATTTTCTATTCCTTAGATTACATCCATATATGAAAAAAAGTTGTAGCATGTTTTCAATCTTGATCAAAATATATTATCTATGTCTCCAAACATTTCCCGATTTTATAAGTCATATTTTTAGATCTCTTTATGCTTGAGCTTATTTCTCTCCCTCTTCTATCTTTCTGCTCATACCCTGTTTTTCATAAACAGTCAAAGGCTTTCTGACGGACATATTTTTAATTATGAGCTTCACACTCTGCTACTCGTATTGGCTTACATATTCACTTCAATATGCCATGAAGTATAATAGCACTAACTTGCAAATTTTTGTCCGATGAGGTTCAAATCTTTTAGGATTATTTGTTAAAATTGTCACTGCAATACGCATCTACCACCTTTTATTGGATTTTATACAATATTACTAAATGCTATACTCATTTTTATAATAGTTCCTACAGTGTATTAAATGCAAGGAGAAATCATTTAATTAATTATGACTAATTAAGAGACACGTTTACAAAATAAACTGCATATTAACTAGAGTAATAAGTGTATTATATGACACATGACTACAGAGTACTAATAATAGTAGCAACAAGAAAAATAAAAAGAAGAGTAGTTTATTGCAGAGAACGAATATTGCAAAAATAAGAATTTTCAGTCAGCACTTATAGCAAGAGTCAGAGTCCATTTACCAAAGATAAAGAATAAAGAGTCATATTTATGCTTTTAAATTTTTTCCTACACTTTCTTTATATTTTATTAGAAAAAATTATTTGTATTTGATAAATATTCTTATTCTTAGAAAATTCTGAATTTTTATCAGCAGCACATTCTAAAAATGTTTAAATCTGCATTATACAAAAAATGACATGTTACTCACCAAAATGAGTAAAGAATAGATACAATGGAATAACTTACTACTAGAATGTAATAAATGTTACCTTAATGTCTGTAATTTCAAGATTCATATTGCTGAAAGAAAATTTCAAGTCATCATCGTTAGCTTCCACTTCAATACCATCTTTTAGCCATATAACAAAAGGAGAAGGATTTCCAGTTGTATTGCAATTTAAAGTGAGACTTTCTCTTTCTCTGAGAGATAAGCTGGATGCATATTCAGATGTTATCGATGGAGGAACTGCAATATAATAATTCAAATATAAAGAACTACAAACATTGGAAATACTCAATTAGAAAATTTATGAAATGAATCTGGGCTAATGAAAAAAACCCAGACTTTATTTATCACAGTAATTTTTATTAACAGCTAAACAATACCTACTTACCACTAATTTAAAAAAAAAGTGATAAAGAAAGCTAATCCATGCACTTTAAATGATGACAGAAACAATAAATTTGCTGATGACAAAAGGAAGATCCGATCATTTTTCTTTTACCAATTCCTTAACTTGTTGAAATTAACATCAAATGAAAGTTGAATTTTGCTATTTATAAAAACATTTAGATATTTTGAGCTTTTAATTGACATGCACCTATTGCATTATTTATATTAAAGCTCATTAACAGCCAAGCATTAAATACTGCTAGTTCAACCTGTGTGTAAATCCTGGCAAACAAATAAAGAAAAATAAACCTGCGCTCAAATCCTGGATCCATGGGAGTTTTTGTGGTTTTCCTCATGCATAACATGTCGAATATCAGTATATTATACACGGGGAATATGTTATTCACATTTTTTGTAACACGGATATCAGTGTCCCTCAAAAACGTCTTCAATAAAAGCATTGCTTAGGCAAAGCACATAAAGGTAAAGTCCTTACATGCTTTGCTTTAATTTAACCTAAATTAACCTATTTATGATAAAAAAAATTATAAATAATACATTTCCAAAAATTTTCTATTAAATAGAAATTTCAATCCCATTCCCAATGCCTTTATTTACTTTAATATATTCAATTTCATTACATTTTAGAATTTACTAAAAACATTAAACATTATATTCTTAAAACCATATGAAAGTACAAGTAAAAAATAACACAAACAGAGGAAAATTCTACCTAATACATCAACAGCATAGTCATGCCTGGCCTCTCCAACTTCATTTTTTGCAATGCAGATATATTTTCCAGCATCTTCAGCTTTAGCATGCTTAATTTTCAGGTGTTTTCCTCCATTAGACATAACAACAAAAGAATTAGTATTTGGATCTAAAATATCCCCATCTTTCATCCATACATATTGAGGCAAAGGGTCTCCAGAAAATGGACAAATGAGTTCAACTGGCATATTTTTCAATACTTCTTTCCGAGCTTTCTTAGAATATTTGTTGGGCATTTTATAACTGTTTTCAAGTTTTGGAGGAGCTGAAAAAGGTATAAGTTATATTTTTAAATTTTTTCATGATTTTTTAAAAATGAAATGAAAAGATAACTATTATTTAAATTCTGGAAGAAAAACTAACTTTGCAATATCAAACTTATATCAAACTTTGCTTTATATATAACTTTGCAAACAATCTGCATAAAAATACCCACTTACAATATAATCAAATTATAATCTTGAATTTTATTCAGATAACACATGAATAAATAACACATGAAACAACAAAAGTTACATGAAAAGATTTATTTTAAAATTTTTACCTTCCACCAACTCATATACATAAGTACTGGAGGTAATGTTTTAGTACTAAAAATTTGACAGTACGTATTCAGTGTATAAACAGTCCCCAAATGTTTATTATTTTTATAACAATGTTTGTATGTATGTGATGATTTTTTTTATCTATGATAACTCTTATAATAAACTTCCAAAAAAATCCATTGTCAGTATTTAATTATATCCTGCCATCCTAAGGAATATAATTTTTTTAGTCCAAAATTTTGATAATGAGTTTTCAGTGCATAAGCATGACTTACGATACCCACACCACATTTCCACACTATATAAGTCTGTGTATAAGTGTGTGATGATTTTTTTCATTTGCTTTGTATGTGTGTGACATTATTGGTGTGTTTTTCATTTTTTTTATCGTGTGCATGTGTGTGTAATGACATTTTTTCATTTTACTCTTACATGAAACTTCGAAATTTCAGTTTTCCATATTTAAGTGTTCTGCATTCAAATAAAGAATTAATTAGATTTTGAGTTAAATTAAGAAAATTGGAAATGGCACTTCATTAGAAGCCCATAAGGCTTATTTACATAAGCGGAACTCTCACATGAAGAAACATATATGAACTTTATGGCTCTGTTAAAGGGAAAAAAGTACACTTACTATTTTTACTTCCCACCAACTTACACACATAGGTAGGGAAAGTAGTGTTTTTGGTATTGAAATTTGATAGAGAGTTTTCAGTGAATGAGCATAAATAGAACATGTTGTTGTCATTTTTACAATGACATGCATGTGATTTCCCCCCCCCCCATGATGTCTCTTAAATGACACTTTCAAAAATTCTCTTTTTTTCTGTCTTTCAGCTTTCTACATTCATATAAAATGTTGATTTGGTTTTGGGTAAAATTAAACAGCTGGAAGGTGCCCATACAAATAATCACAAGTAGTACATTACTTGAATCCTAAAACAGTTTTTAAGGAAAATTATATTTAAATATAATCTAAAACTTTTCAATTTTAGTATTTAAGACTTTTATATCAATGAGAAAAACACATTAGATTTTGGTTAAAATTGATAAATTGATTCTAGATATGCTGTTTTTAAAATTTTTATGACTGTTAAGTCACTGATGTGAATCCACAACATCATATGAACCACAGGATATATAACAATCAATGTTATATTTTCATATCAAATAATGAAAACTTATGTGTACATATAGTTACATTATCCACTGTATGGGAGAATACAATAATAAAAAATGAGTGTGTTAATAATTAATACTGAGCCATAAAGTCCATAAACAAATTATATTTTATGTACAAATAATCAACCAGAAGTGATAGTTTTCTTGAAGATCATTGCTATTCTGCAGCAGGAGGTCATGTGGTGCCCACAACAGTTTTTTTTTTTTTTTTTTTTTTTTTTAACTTCACTTAAAAAGCTTTAATAAGCTTACAGCAAGTCTTTTATTTATTCTTTATTGGTAAGAAGTAATATATGTTTTGTGAAAAGAAAAATCATATTCATTAGAATAATATTAAACTGAGAGTGTTATTGGCTAAATTAAAAGCATTTAATGTGAATTTTAATAAGTATTTAACTTTAACACTAAGAGGAAACAAATTAAATAATTAGCATGCATATAAATAAACTTACATAAAATTATGATGTTAAAATCTTTTTCATAGCTTCCTGCTTTATTCGTAGCAGTGCAGATATATCTTCCACCATCTCTTTTTGTAGCATTTGTTATTGCAAAAATGCTATTATTAACACTATTTGTTAATGATACTGGTGCATTGTTTTTCATCCATAATATTTTAGGAGTAGGATTTCCATAAGCTTCACATTTCAGAAAAATATCTTGTCCTTCTTTTATTCTAAAAGTTTCGGTAACAGTTTGATCTTTAATGTGTGGAGGAACTGTATGAAAACAAAAAGAATATTTAATAAAAATCCAAAACCATATTTAAAAATATGATTCCACAATGTGATTAAAAGAATTTTAATAACTGCTATTTAAATATATTTATACTAAATTTATTCTCAGTTTGATAAA